CCTGTTAAATCAAGAACAATTATATTTATGGAATGATAAAACTTTATTCTCTTGTCATTGATTTAAAGAAAAAAAAAAATGTAAAAGAATTAATTTCTCAGATACAGAACTAATATTAGAAATTACACAAAATTCTAATGATTGATTTATAAAAGTTGTAAGCAATTTTCCTAACTGATCATAAAAAGTGAAAAAGGTGAAAAAATTTTCAAGTTAGACTACGTGATATAGATGGTTAGAGGAACCCCGCCTCAAAGTATCGCCCATATCATTACGGTAATATTCAGTAGGTGGACAGCTATTGAGAAAAGTGCATGACAATTACTTAAATTTATTACATTGGTTAAAAGGTTACTTAAAAGAAAATTGCGTGAATTTACACTTCTAATTTTAGAAAATTATAATAATGTAGATTTGGTTTATTAAACTTTTCTATGATTTTTCTAAATTATTTTTTGAATTAAACAACAATCACAATAAATTTTATTCTTAATTACATAATAAATAGCATATGCTTTCATTTAATTATTTAATTTAAGATAAGGTAAATGTGTAAATATACATTTTCGAATTTAAGTACGAAGATAGAAAGCACTGGTTATAAAACAAAAATAAATGTATTTTTCTTTCTGGTTATTAAGCGAAATGTTTAATTTTTATCATTAATTTTTGTTTCCTAAACTTCAAAATATTTAAATATTTTCAGAAATTAAAATTTAAAGAAATTCTGGAGGATATTATCAATATGGAAAGAAAAACATCAGTAAATTGAAAAAGTTGATGACAGTTCTATAAAAGAGAAAAAGACAAAAAAAAAAAAATCTTTGTCGAGTAATTGTTAAAATTTTCTAAAAATATCAAAAGATTTTGGACAATTATAGAAATTGTATAATTAATATGATTAAAATTAATTGTATAATTATTTTTTATACTTGATCAAATCCTTATCAACTTTATAATGTTCATTGTCTTTGTATAATTTTTGAAATTTTGTGCCTCCTTGTAACAGGTTAAAACATCCTTTCTACTTTGATCTATAAATAAATAAAAATATTATCAAAAGATTTCTATCATACAAAAATATGATCAAATTTTTTTTTACTGTTATTAAAAATACATAGTAAAGATTTTAAAACAGATTTTAATTATTGAGAAGAAATGTTGATGATTGAAAAATGTTTATGCTTAGGCTATAGACTGAAGCCATCTTATCTTTTTAAAAGTTCTCAAAAGTTAATATATACAATTATTAAATATTTATTGTATATTTTCATGTATTTAGGCCTAGGTAATAAAACATAAATTTTGAAACTAACAACATACATTTGGATTTTTTGTGAATAATAAATAATAATATTATGTTAAGTATTTTATCAATTTTTTAATCAACATATAATTTAATTTTAGTCAAATTTTAACTAGTTTATGGTGAAAATATTCAAAAATTAACTTTTTGTTTATTATCCTAAAATATGCTTCAAGGAAATTATGAATTTGTTAATAAAACTTAAAATATTCTAAATATTGTTCTAAAAATTTATAATAAAGTTTTCTTAAAGAGTTTGTTATTTTAAACATTAAAAATATCTATTAGATAAAATTAAAATATAATAATTATATTTAATTCAAACTAAAAATTTCAGAAGAGAAAAAAAAACTTACAGATAAAACAATTTCTTATATTTTTATTCTATGAAATTAATATTAAAAACTTAATAATTTACATTAAAATTCTGTAATGTTTTATAATGGAACAAAATTAATTTAAGCATTACCACCTCAAAAATTTTTATAAAATATNATTATTTTATTTTTGCTTAGGTAATTTACACTGAAATGAGAATAGAACATATGGACTAGGCAGATGGACTCTTGTCTATTATAGCAGTTCTAAAAATCCAACATCTGTCATTTGTTTCTTATTCATTTCAAAATTAAAATAGAAATGAAAACTTTTAATGAAATTAACAAATAAATACATTTGTTTTTAGAATTTTTTAAAAAATATTTACTTATTATTTTTCAAAAATTCATTTAGGCCTATTTCTCAACTTCTCCTGATGTTTCCTTTACGTCAAGAGATAATTACTAGTTTTCTTAGCAAGAAAGAACGGGAGTTAGACCAATAATACCCCAGGCATTCTTAGTCCTACTGGATATATCTGAAATTTGTCTAAACAATTAATTGAATTATTGTTATCTTTAATTAAAATGAAATTTAAACGATAAAAATACAAAGATTTTATCTAGTAAATTTTGAAATTAGGCCTAATTTTTATTTAAATAAAAACAATAACATTAGAATTTCCCCTTCATCATGCTAAAGATAAAGCATTACTAAAAATACTTTAGCTCTTCTACTATAAACAATGTATTTTGTAATGATATTCTGGCCTAAAACAATTCATTTATAATATAAATTTCTGTAGTAAAAATGTGTTAAAACCTACATATTTTATGGTGTTTATTTGATAGGCCATATGATCTTACAACTTGTTCTTTTTTAGGCCAACTTACTGTTTATCGTTATCAAGTTAAATCTGGATAATTCTTAAACTTATAAATTAAAACAATTTAGCTCGGAAAAAAGAAATAATAATAATAATATCAGGCCTATGTATCATGTAAGAAATTTTAGATCAAAAGAAAATACAAGTTTCTTTTATGTTTACACTGTTATAAATGCTTTGAAACATTTAATTCAAAGTTTACTGGTTGTATATAAATTAGATACTTATTGACATATTTTTAAAAAAGTAAATAGATTTTTTTTCGCTTATTTTTTGGTGTTTACTGTTTAAATCAAACTTACTAACCGATATTATTTTATTTTTGCTTAGGTAATTTACACTGAAATGAGAATAGAACATATGGACTAGGCAGATGGACTCTTGTCTATTATAGCAGTTCTAAAAATCCAACATCTGTCATTTGTTTCTTATTCATTTCAAAATTAAAATAGAAATGAAAACTTTTAATGAAATTAACAAATAAATACATTTGTTTTTAGAATTTTTTTAAAAATATTTACTTATTATTTTTCAAAAATTCATTTAGGCCTATTTCTCAACTTCTCCTGATGTTTCCTTTACGTCAAGAGATAATTACTAGTTTTCTTAGCAAGAAAGAACGGGAGTTAGACCAATAATACCCCAGGCATTCTTAGTCCTACTGGATATATCTGAAATTTGTCTAAACAATTAATTGAATTATTGTTATCTTTAATTAAAATGAAATTTAAACGATAAAAATACAAAGATTTTATCTAGTAAATTTTGAAATTAGGCCTAATTTTTATTTAAATAAAAACAATAACATTAGAATTTCCCCTTCATCATGCTAAAGATAAAGCATTACTAAAAATACTTTAGCTCTTCTACTATAAACAATGTATTTTGTAATGATATTCTGGCCTAAAACAATTCATTTATAATATAAATTTCTGTAGTAAAAATGTGTTAAAACCTACATATTTTATGGTGTTTATTTGATAGGCCATATGATCTTACAACTTGTTCTTTTTTAGGCCAACTTACTGTTTATCGTTATCAAGTTAAATCTGGATAATTCTTAAACTTATAAATTAAAACAATTTAGCTCGGAAAAAAGAAATAATAATAATAAATGACCGAATTTTAAATTTACCAATTTTAATATTATAAATTTTATTTAAGTAATCGAAAGAGGACTTTCACCTTGAAGATATAACAACAAAACCTACGGATGTAGTGTTTATGAATGGGAAGTCTTATTGTTTCTAACAATCTTGATCTTAGTGAAATAATTTCCTGTTTATTGTGACTTAAAAATAATATTAAAAGAGAAACCACATCCTTTTGGGTCAATAGGAAAATTAAAATGCTTATTTTCATAACAAAAAATTCTTGTGAGAAGTCAAGCTGGGATATATCCGCACTTTTTCTTTTCTATACTAAAATCTTTTATCTAGGCCTTTTTACTGTTTATTTTTCTGCTTGGATTGGTAGCCAATTTAGAGGATTTTTAGTAGATATACAGGCCTATAAGTTTCTGATAACAAAGTATAATTAACCAACCATAAAGTGCTTTTTAATCTGCTATAGCCTATAAAATAAAATAATTAAATTTGGAATTATCTTAAAATAAAGAAGAATAAGAGCAATTACAGAAAACTTTATAATATAACCAAACTTTTAATTCATGAATTTACTTGTTATATTAAAGTAGCTAGAATAATTGGGCGTTATTTGATTTCATTAAACTATGAATAAATATAAATAAAATTTGAATTTTATGAATTTTTAGTATAAATCATTGGCCTATAGAAGTGTATATAGAAATTTTTATATAAGATATATTCTCTGCAGGATTTATGTGATTTAATGAATGAATAAATTGAAAAAGTTTGAAATTAAATAAAAGTACAATTAAAATTAGCTAAATTAAAGTTCAAATATATAATTAGAAATTGGAGTGATAGATCATATCCCAAACGAAAGAGATAACAAAACAATTTAAAAGCTAAGCAGCAATGAAATTGCAATAAATTGTGTAAGGTGATAAACAAGGAGACATGCAAGGTACTAAAAGTTAAATTTAAAAATAATTAAAGGTCAAATAAGTAGTTCACATTAAAACAAAATATAAGCCTATATATTCAAGTAGAATTTAAGAAAAAATAAAAGATTCATGCACATAAACAATTAATATGAAATAAAATAAATAAACGAATGTTTACAAAATTAAAACCATAAAAAAACCACAGAATGAATAAAACCAGCTTAATAGAAATAGATAAATACTATATATCACTAAAAGAGAAGACTAATTAATAACTTACAGAATTTAGTTAATTTATCATTTACTAATCATCTCAATTTGCATATGACATAAGCCTACGTAGGCTTAGGCTATATCGACTTCAGCACCAGTAGCGAACAATCGAGTTAATGTGTAGAGCATACGCTTAATTGTGTCTAGTACATTGTAAATAACAACGATAAGAGTGTAGGGCTACCTACCTGAAATCTTTTCGTTAGCTTCTAAACCTTCGAAGGCCTTACTGGTCATCTCGAATAAGGCATCGAGAGGTGACGAATTATTTCCATTGAGAGCCGGACTTTCGGGAGAATCACTTTCAGACTTCTCCGATCTAGAATCTACCGAGCGTGGCCTTCTACGATGTCCCTCTTGGTTATTCAAGTCCCACGGTCTAACTATAGATCTATCCAGCGCACATCTAGTCCTGTTGGATGAGGTATGACTTAAAATGTCCTTAATAAAAAAAGACGTGAGAGGTTTATGCACGTGGTCACGTGGCTGTTCCATACACAATTTCTTGATCGGTTTAAAATATTCATCTTCTTCTATTTCACTATCAACAGAGTTCGGTCTGCTGCACGACGCCTCTTCTTCAGTCTTCGGACTGCCTACTGCAAGTTCAGGATCTCCGATACCCTCCGGTGTCGCAGACATAATTAGCGAGGCCCAGAGGCCTGACTAGCCTAAACTGGAGTCTGGTGTGTAGCACCTTATCCACATGCTTGTGTGGGAGTCCGACTGGAATGATTGTCAACAACTTTGTCGGTGTGTAGTCTATGCATTGTGTGTTGCACTTAACCAATCACAGAGCTCAAATAGGGTCGTAGTCGCAGCTTGAGCCGTCTACTAAGTGTCGGGTGATTGGTGCGTGATTATATACATCCGTCACGTCACGTACTTCTCATTCGTGACGATTGGATTGGAGGTGTTACTTTGCTTGATGGATGTTGATGACGTTACGTTATCCGATAGGCTGTTAGCGCGAAATTAATTTGACGATGTTGATGATGTCGGAGGTGAATGGGCCTTTTATAGTTTTGTCTTGGGATTAACAGTTTACTACCGGTAGGTATTTTTTAGATAATTTTTCTATGAGACCCTCTAGTTAATGTATGAAACATGGCAAACTCGTTAAGACTTGGAGAACTAGGTATGGATGATAAATAATGGAAGTAGGTTGAGAGAACTTTTTATTAGAATACTTTTATAGAATTATAAAGTTAGGAAAGTCGTTACACCTATGACTATATGAATATAATCCTTCAGGCTCGATATTTAGTTTTGATTAAAAGACCAATCGTATTAATTTATATCGTAAAGTTCTATAGTAAACTACAATGAACTCACTCAATCAACGAGGACCTGACGTTTATTCAGGTCAGCTTAGGGAAAGTTGAAGGATGAGGTACAAATAGGATTCGAGCCAAAATCTCATTGGTGCATCAAAATTAATATCGTTTTGTCAATCGAATAAACTGCTATATTACGAAACTAAATAGAATTTTTAATATAGGCATATTAAAGGAAATTATTAAATTTAAGAAGCATTATAGACAATTTATAAGGTATTTCGTAGCATTAATTCCGTATATAATTAACAGGAAGGATTATAGACCTAATATAAGAGACTGAATTTGACTGGAATTTAAAAAAAATGCCAATAATTTATTTCTGATTTAGATTTATTATTAATTTAGTAATTAAAAGATAGCAAATTTTGCTTAAAAATAATAAAATATTAATATAGATCTGACCTATATAAAGTCTAAGATTTACGAAGTTTTTTTAAAATTTAGATTTGAAATATTAACCTATAAAATATAAATAATCTTATTACTTTCAATATGAAATTTAAACCCGAAAATTTATTAGATCTATCACTTAATGTATATAAATATAGTTCTAGGATAAATCTAAATAGCAGTAAGATCAATTAGATTGGCCTAAAGATGTTAAAGGTGTTGCACATTTAAGTATTGATACTAAAATAATACAGGGTCTGATTAAGTTTTGAGGTAATTATTCCTATTTAGGTTATAAGTGTTTGTCCTTATTTATCCATGTTTTGAATCTAATTATATTTAAGTATTAAAACCAACACAATAGATGGTTTGAATAAGTTTTTAGGTAATTGTCCATAATTGATTTCGATAATATTCGATAAGATAACTGTTATATAAAAATTTAAATAATTCAAATTCGAAAATCTATCTGTAAGAATAGACTTTGACAACCCTTAAATAACCTTTACCTTTAGACTTTCCTATTAAATCTCACAATCATTAGCAGGAGTCTGGTTTAATTATTAGACGATAAAAATGAATAAACTCTGAATAAAAGGAAATATGTAAATTTAAAAGATTTTAAAGAAAAAATTTATTTTTTTTAGAAACTACAAACTATTCTACAAACTAAACGTAGAGTAATTGCAGTTTTTTTAATTATTAATTTATTCTTTAGGCTATATTTTACATTGAAAGTTAATTAAGGATATGTACAAAATATTAAATTAGCTTATATTTATTATCCATAAAAATAAACTTAAAGCTTTAGCGTAATTCTCATAATCTGTAATTTTATATAGGCATATAATGTAGTTTCGATAGCATTTAATTTTAAAAATTAAATGTGTTTTAGGAAATAATAGAAATTATAATAATACAGATGTAAAAGTAGTTAGATTAAATGTCATTTTTGATTTATAAAGTTATTACTATTTATGATTTATTCAAGGACAAAAATTGCCTTAAGCTGAGCCTTTGCGACATTCTGCTTTTTTGTAGATACATATAACAGCAAAATTATTATTAATATTACTCATTTATTCAAAAGTATTAAATAGAATAATAAAAAAGCGAAATCATGAAATTTCTTCTGTAATAAGAGATTTTTATATTTAGTTAACTTAACGTAATATCTACAAGATTACAAACTCGAATATTTTTTTACATAAAGTAGAGCTATAAAAGTGTAATCTTATAAAAATAACTTCAGATAGGCCTAGATTTTATGATCTTCAGGCTTGCATAGAGAATTATTTCAGAACCAGATAATGTCTACTCTTATCATTGAATAAGACCTTTAATTAATAAGAGAGTCGTGATTTAGTGCAAATTAACCTATTTTTCTGCCAATAATTGGTCCATTTTTGTAAGTATAGAATCTACTTTATTACTATATATATTACTGTACGTATTTTTATGTTCTGGCAATTCGACTATCTTATTATTTAGTTTCTAGTTCTCGAGTAATTTATGCAGAAACTAAAACTTCTGGTAAATAGTATAACTGATTCCTTTCTTTATTTGACAATTTTTTAACGTAAAATTCCTTGTTTTTATAAATTAGAATTGAATTAAGTACTATTTTAATATTACACATACTTTATTTTAATCTTTAAAGTAAAAATATCTTTTGAAAAGCTTGATTTCTAAGGCCTATGTCTAAAGATAAGTGCGCTTTGTTGGCATATATGATATGAAATGTATACACGTAGGCCTAGGTCTATTTATTAACATGCTAAGCGCTACTATATTTATAATGTATGAGTGGTTATATCTAGAATATATTAGTGTAACTAACATGCTTTTTTTCAGATATATATTCATGTTTCAACTTAGTTGAAAGTGTTCAGAAATTCAAAAATAAGATTCAAGGAAGGCTTATCACTTTAGAGGAAAGTAGGGATTGTGTAAAGANTAAAAAAAAAAAAAACAAATTAAAAAAAATGTGACAATCCTGCAAGGAAGAAACACGAAGAGAAAATTTCTAAATATACCTAATTAGTATTCAAGAAGTATGTTTTCTAAACAGTTGAGAACATGTTTTGAATAATTATTTTGTATTTTTCTTCACAAAATTTAAAGAGAAGAAAATAGGTTTGTGTATCATTTTTAAAGAATCATTTCCTTCCTACTAAGTAGGACGCCATTTAGTTATCTGGAATCCTACCCACGTTTATAACATAAAAGAATATACATTTACATTCATAAATTCGTTTCCGATTTTAAAATTTTATCTAATTACATTCGAATGTAAATATTAATTAAAATATGCACAATTACGAAGAATCTTTTTGTTTTCTGAATTTATTTTATTATGTAGGACATTTTAGTTTACAGTTACTGATACTTAGGCCTACTATATTTACAGTTTACACACGTTAATATGGTAAATAGTATATAATTAATTTATTTATAACTGAATTATCATATACTCAAGCATGAGAAAGTGTTCTTAATTAACTAAATATGTTAAAAAAAAAACAAAAATTTGAATTTAATCTATATTTATTTTATCGTTTAATAGCGATATAGCGATGCCGATAAGGCAATAGAATATATATAATATAAGTTAATAAATCCAACAATATACTAGCATATAGGCTACATAAGAAAGTATTAGTTATCTATATAAATAAGAAATATGTATATTATCTACACACGTTAGATATAGGCTTATGTGCATAAAACAGAGTATTTATAATATACTCAAGTATTTATTACCCGTATTTGGGTATGCCAGATATAATAGGCCTATATCCCTTCTGTAAATTGTGGTGTAATAGGTATGATGAACAGAAAAGTTTATCATACCCAAACTATTCACTCAAAACGTGCCTCTTTTCATATCTTCACCTTTTTGTTAAAAAAGGAATAAAACCTTTTGCCCCTTTTCCTGACAGTTTTATGTTGCAGTATTTTTGGAAGCCTTTTTCTTTATTTCTTATTCTGTCAACACGATTTCTCCTGTTATATATAGATACATCATGATCCAAGAAAGAAGTATGATTGATTTCGTATGGTATTTTTCCTCCCTTACGTACAAAATTCCAAGCCAAATACACGGTCTGCTTTCTTGGATCATAATACAGTATATCTCACTTTTATAGCCTACAATATTATGAATAGGCCTATTAAATTTCTAGGTTCAGGTTCGTGTGTAAGTTACTTATAAGTTATAAGTAAGTTATATTTTATTGTATTTGAAAATGTTATTAAATTATTAGCTTAAATCAAACGTTAAATTTTAAGAACTAATACAAAATGTTTAGGTCTACTAAAACCTTTTTTTTATCTTATATCGATACAATTTTATTTATTTATGTTTGAATCAATATTTTAACACATTTGTTGTTCTAAATGCTTAATTTTTAATTAAGAATTAAGCTAAAAATATGAATTTAAATGTTAATAATGCATCAATTTTAAAATATTAAAGCTTAAAAAATAATAAATTTATAATAAATAAAGCCTTAAAANCCAACTTACTGTTTATCGTTATCAAGTTAAATCTGGATAATTCTTAAACTTATAAATTAAAACAATTTAGCTCGGAAAAAAGAAATAATAATAATAAATGACCGAATTTTAAATTTACCAATTTTAATATTATAAATTTTATTTAAGTAATCGAAAGAGGACTTTCACCTTGAAGATATAACAACAAAACCTACGGATGTAGTGTTTATGAATGGGAAGTCTTATTGTTTCTAACAATCTTGATCTTAGTGAAATAATTTCCTGTTTATTGTGACTTAAAAATAATATTAAAAGAGAAACCACATCCTTTTGGGTCAATAGGAAAATTAAAATGCTTATTTTCATAACAAAAAATTCTTGTGAGAAGTCAAGCTGGGATATATCCGCACTTTTTCTTTTCTATACTAAAATCTTTTATCTAGGCCTTTTTACTGTTTATTTTTCTGCTTGGATTGGTAGCCAATTTAGAGGATTTTTAGTAGATATACAGGCCTA